TATAAAAAAATTGACTGGGTGTGGTGGCTCACAGCTATAAACCCAGCACTTTGGGAGGACTAGACAACAGGATTTCCTGAGCCCAGGAGTTGGAAATCAGCCTGGTCAATATAGTGAGACCCTGTTACTACTAAAAAAGTAAAGAGAAAAAAAGGAGCTGAGGCCAGGCGAGGTGGCTCCGGCCTGTAATCCCAGCCCTCTGGGAGGCTGAGGCAGATGGATCACCTGAGGTCAGGGGTTCAAGACCAGATTGGCCAACATGGAGAAACCCATCTCTACTAAAAATACAAAAACTAGCCAGGTGTGGTGGCTCACAGCTGTAATCTCAGTTACTTGGGAGGCTGAGGTACAAGAGACACTTGAACCTGAGAGGCAAAGGTGGCAGTGAGCCAAGATGGCACCATTGCACTCCAGCATGGATGAAAGAGTGAGATTGTGTATCAAAAATAAATAACACACACACACACACACACACACACACACACACAATTCCTCACTTCAAGATGTTTATAATCTATCCAGGGAGATGAGCTGTGCACACAATACATTCACACATCCAGTGAGTCTCCCGAAAAATGAAAAAAATAATTTCTTTCTTGTTTTTTTTTTGGAGACAGAATCTTGCTCTGTCACCCAGGCTGCAGTGCAGTGGCGAGATCTCTACTCACTGCAACCTCCACCTCCCTGGGTTCAAGCAATTCTCTTGCCTCAGCCTCCCAAGTAGCTAATTTGTGTGTGTGTGTGTGTGTGTGTGCGCGCGCGTGATCTGTGAGTTCAGGCAATCCACCCTCCTCGGCCTCACAGAGTGCTAGGATTACAGTTGTGAGCCACTGCACCTGGCTGAAAAAAATAATTTTTAAAAAATGAATAAATAAAAGCAAAAACAAAAAAATAAATACACTCATAGAATGTAGCTAGGGTGGGGCATGGTGGCTCACACCTCTAACTCCAGTGCTTTGGAAGGCCAAAGTGGGAGAACTGCTTGAACCCAGGAGTTCAAGACCACTTTGGACAACATAGGAAGACCCCCATCTCTACCAAAAAAAAAAAAAAAGAAAAAAGAAAAGAAAAAAGCAGGCACGGTGGCTCACGCCTGTAATCCTAGCACTTTGGGAGGCTGAGGTGAGTGGATTATGAGGTCATCACAAGGTCAGGAGTTCGAGACCAGGCTGGCCAATATGGTGAAACCCCATCTATACTAAAAATACAAACATTAGCCAGGCGTGGTGGCCAGTGCCTGTAATCCCAGCTACTCAGAAGGCTGAGGCAGGAGAATTGCTTGAACCCGGGAGGCAAAAGCTGCAGTTAGCCAAGATCATGCCACTGCACCTTAGCATGGGCGACAGAGCAAGACTCCGTCTCAAAATAAATAAATAAAATAAAATTAGCTGGTTATGGTGGTGTGTACCTGTGTCCCAGCTATTTGGGAAGCTGAGGTGAGAGGATCACTTGAGCCCAGGAGGTTGAGGTGGCAGAGAGCCATAATCACACTACTATGCTCCAGCCTGGGTGACGGTGAGTTCCCATCTCTTAAAAACAAACAAAATGCAGATGAGCACTTTGGGTTAAAATAAATAAATTTTTAAAAGATAGCATATAGCATATGACTCATGTGACTGTTCCAATGAGAGCTATAAAAGGAAATAACAGCTAATAGCTACTACTTAGTAAGTGCCTACAGGCCGGGCACAACGGCTCACACCTGGAATCCCAGCACTTTGGGAGACTGAGATGGGAAGATGGCTTGAGGTCAGGAGTTTGAAACCAGCATGGGCAACATAGTGAGACCTTTCTCTAAAAAAAAAAAAAAAAAAAAAAAATTAAATTAAATAAAAATAAAATAAATAAATAAGAAAATAATAAAAATATTAAGTGCTTACAATAAGCCAAGCACTACATTAAATGCTTTATAACCATCTCATTTTATTTTTGTGAACTCCTTCTTTGAAAGTACTATTATTATCTCTATTTTACAAAAAAAGGAAGCTGAGGCTCAGAGAGGGGAAGTGAATTGCCCAAGGTTGCACAGCTGGGTAGTGGCAAAGGACAGGGGTGAGCCTCATCCTAAGCTCTAGGCATCATATCCTTATCAGAGAAACCTTTCCCTATAATCCCTAGTTCTCCTTTAGGTATTATCATACTGTTTACCCATTTTCTATCTCCCCTACCTCTTTAAAACAATATTTACCCTTCTTCAAAATACCAGCTAAAATTTGGGTAAATCCTATGGTGCCTCAAATGACCTGTAATTCACTAGACTTTCTATGCTGCAATTAGTGTCTGTATAGGAAGAGAGGCCAAAGAAGTTCACAGCCTCCTGTAATCATTACAGCACTGAGAGCGGCTCACTCTGCCCAATCTTGTGAATCACCAGGTCGATCAAGAGGCACATCCTAAACCCTAGGGCATATGCACCTCTAATAACTGCCAGAGTGCTGTGCAAGGCCCAGTCCTTGTCAATGTTCTTTTCTTATTTAGTATACTCTTTCAGGATGATCTCATTCATTGTCACGCCTTTTAGCTACCATATGAGGCTATGGTTTTGAAATCTCTCTCTCCCCTGAACTTTGCCATTTGGGTGTCCCATAGACCCCTGATGCTCAAGGAACTCATCTTTCCTGTCTCACCCACACTGCTCTTTGTTTTCTAGCTTAGAGAAAAAAAGTGCTGGCTGGGTGCTGTGGCTCATGCCTGTAAATCCCAGCATTTTGGGAGACTGAGGCAGGTGGATCACAAGGTCAGGAGTTCCAGACCAGCCTGACCAACATAATGAAGCCCCATCTCTACTAAAAATACAAAAATTAGCCAGGAACGGTGGTGCGTGCTGTAATCCCAATTACTCAGGAGGCTGAGGCAGGAGAATCGCTTTAACCCGGGAGGTGGAGGTTGCAGTGAGCCGAGATGGCGCCACTGCACTCCAGCCTGGGTGACCGGGTGAGACTCCATCGCAAAAAACAAACAAACAAAAAAAAACGTACTGCAATGGCCACTCAAGGTAGAAATCTGGACATCTGTGACTCCATTTCTCTGTCTTTACCTCTGGTTAGTCATTAAATAATTATTTTACATATATATATATATTTTTGAGACACAGTCTTGCTCTGTTGCCCAGGCTGGGGTGCAGTGGTGCGATTTCCACTCACTGCAAACTCGGCCTCCTGGGTTCAAGTGATTCTTGTGCCTCAGCTACCTGAGTAGCTGGGACTACAGGCGTGTGCCACCACACTCAGCTAATTTCCTCTTTTACATTTTTAAAATCTTTTTCTCACAGTTGTTTCTCAGCCAGAGTTTTACCAAAGCACCTCATCGGTCTTTTTTTCTTTCTTTTAATTTTTTTCAAGATAGGGTCTCCCTCTGTTGCACAGGCTGGAGTGCAGTGGCCTATCTCCGCTCACTGCAACCTTTGCCTGCCAGGCTCAAGCAATCCTCCCACCACAGCCTTCCAAGCAGCTGGGACTACAGGTGCGACCCACTACACTCAGCTAATTTTTGTATATTTTGTAGAGACAGGTTTCCACTATGTTGCTCAGGCTGGTCTTGAATTCCTGAGCTCAAGCCATCTGCCCACTTTGCCTCCCAAAGTGCTGTGAATTACAGGCCTGAGCCACCTGAGCCACCTGAGCCCGGCCTGATCTTTTTTCTCCAGGCTCTCCTTTCCCAAACTTTTCTCCACATTGCAACCAGAGTTCCTTTAAAGCTCACATCTATTCTTTTTCTTCTTCTTTTTTTTTAATCGAGAGAGTCTCGCTGTGTCACCCAGGCTGGAGTACAGTGGTGGGATCTCAGCTCACAGCAACCTCCGTCTCCTGGGTTCAAACGATTCTCCTGCCTCAGCCTCCTGAGTAGCTGGGATTACAGGCATGCACCACCACACTCGACTCATTTTTGTATTTTTAGTAGAGACGGGGTTTCACCATATTGGTCAGGTTGGTCTTGAACTCCTGACCTTGTGATCCGCCCGCTTCGGCCTCCCAAAGTGCTGAGATTACAGGCGTAAGCCACTGCGCCTGGCCACATCTATTCTTTAGTTTGGCATGCAGAGTACTCCTGGATCTGGGCCTACAGCTTTTCCACTCGCCTGCTCTGCCTATGGGGGTAGCCATTCTTTATTCCTTTACTTTCTTTTTTTCTTTTTTGATACATAGTCTCTCTCTGTCGTCTAGGCTATAGTGCAAGTGTCACAATGTCGGTTCGCTGCAACCTCTGCTTCCCGGGTTAAAGTGATTCTCCCACATCAGCCTCCCTAGTAGCTGAAAGTACAGGCATGCGCCACAGTGCCCAGCTAATTTTTGTATTTTTAGTGGAGGCGGGGTTTCACCATGTTGGCTAGGCTGGTCTTGAACTCCTGACCTCAAGTGACCCGCCCACCTTGGCCTCCCAAAGTGCTGGGGTTACAGGCATGAGCCACCGTACCCGACCCCTCAGTTTGTGTGTGTGTGTGTGTGTGTGTTTTAAGTTCATGATAATCTCTGTCTTTTTTTTTTTTTTTTTTTGAGACGGAGTTTCGCTCTTGTTACCCAGGCTGGAGTGCAATGGCGCGATCTCGGCTCACCGCAACCTCCGCCTCCTGGGTTCAGGCAATTCTCCTGCCTCAGCCTCCCGAGTAGCTGGGATTACAGGCACGCGCCACCATGCCCAGCTAATTTTTTGTATTTTTAGTAGAGACGGAGTTTCACCATGTTGACCAGGATGGTCTCGATCTCTTGACCTCGTGATCCACCCGTCTCGGCCTCCCAAAGTGCTGGGATTACAGGCTTGAGCCACCGCGTCCGGCTCTCTGTAAGTCTTAACAGTTCCAAGAGACTTTCTACACAAATACATCTCCAGGTTGTCAAGCCTAAAAATATTTTCCTAGAGGATGACCTGTGAATTCAATTCAGGTAGCGCCCGGAGAAATGCTCCAAAGGAGGGCGCCATCTTTCTTACAGCAGCGCGGGATTTCGCGCATGCGCTTCTGGTTGTCTGTCAGCAATGAGGCTCTTTGGCCTTCTCGGCACCCTTACGTTCCGGAACGGCAGTTTCGAGGTTTGCGAGACTTCGGCTTCCGACCGGAGGTGAAAAGAGGAGGAAGTTGGCTGGTTGCATCCGTCTGAGGGCTTCCCGGGCTCGGTTAACCAGAGGGCTGGAATCTAATCGTCGCTCAAAGGTCCTAGGTGCGCGGGTGGATGTGATTCCTGGCTTTTTGAGAAGAAGCTAGAACCCCAAGGAGGTGTGTTTTTAGTGTTTAAATGGACACGTGTTCTGGATGCCGGCTTAGAGGGACCTATATACCATCATTTTAAAATAACTTCCTCTTGGCTCGCTTTAAAAGGCATTTTCAGGCCTGCCTCGGTGGCTCTCCCGCCTGTAGTCTGGCTACTTGGGAGGCAGATCGGGAGGTTGAGGATCGCTTGAGCCCAGGAGTTCGAGGTTATAGTGAACTGGGAACTCCCCATTGCGCTCCAGCCTGTGCTACAGATCGAGATCCTGTCTCCAAAAAAGGGGCAGAGGGGAAGGCATTTTTAGAGAGATGGAATGCCTAGATTCTAGTTTGGTCCAAATTCTGCCACCAACTTGCTCTGTGTATCCTTCTGCCCCTCTCCGAAACTCAGTATCCTCATCTATAAAATTAAGGTCCCTTAAGTCACTTTTCAGTTCTTCTGAATTTTTTTTTCCTCTTTATTATGTCATTTGAGCCACATAGCCTCCGGAATTAAAAATCACTGGCCTCGGCTGGACGCGGTGGCTCATGCCTCTAATCCCAGCTCTTTGGGAGGCCGGATCACCTGAGACTCACCTGAGGCCAAGGGGTTCAAGACCAACTTGGCCAACATGGCAAAACCCCACCTCTACTAAAAATACAGAAAAAGCCAGGCATGGTGGCACATTCCTGTAATCCCAGCTACTCGGCAGTCTGAGGCAGGAGAATCGCTTGAATCCTGGAGGCAGAGGCTGCAGTGAACAGAGATCACCCCATTGCACTCCAGCCTGGATGACAAGAGTGAAACTCCATCTCAAAAAAAAAAAAAAATGGCCTTATTTTATAAGGAATACATTGAGTCCCAGGGTGAGGGGTTGTAGGACTTTCTCAAGATTGCACAGGTAACTTGGAAGTTTCAGAACTTGAGACTAGAAGGTTATGGTATAACTCCATGACTAGATCTCCCTTTTATATTTCTGTATTATCAGTTCCTGGAACTGGCCATATAAGGAGATACTCAGATGTTTCTGAATGAATGAATCTTTTGATTTGAAGGCCGGTGCCACAACAGATCTGGTCTCTCTCCCCCACTCTGATGTATAAACAAGTGAACTCTTTTTCAGGTATATCCCATGCCTTACCTGACTGGACGTTCTGAGTTGTGTTGTCTTCAACTTAAACACCATGGAGGCACCTCCAGTCACCATGATGCCTGTCACTGGGGGCACCATTAACATGATGGAGTACCTGCTGCAGGGTAAGTGAACCAGGGAACTTGGATTGTCTGTTTTCCTCTTCTCTGTTCAGCTTCCCTGAAGATAAGAGACTTAACACAAAAGCAGCCTGCACAGTTTCTGGCAATCAGCTATGTTTTTAATTGTTACTTCATATTATAGTTTTATATGCATTAAATATATTAAATTTGTCGTCAGAACATTTGTGTACAGTTCAGTAGTGTGAAGTATATTAACATTGTTAAGCAACAGATCTTTAGAACTCGTGTTTATTGTGAGTAGCTTGAAAAAAATGCTTAATAGAACTTTTTTTTCTTTGAGACAGAGTCTCAATCTGTCACCCAGGCTGGAATGCAGTGGCACGATATCGGCTCACTGCAACCTCCACTTCCTGGGTTCTAGGGATTCTTATGTCTCAGGCCCCCAGATAGTTGGGATTACAAGTGTGCATCACCATGCCCAGCTAATTTTTCTATCTTTAGTAGAGAGTTGAGGTTTTGTCATGTTGGCCAGGCTGGTCTTGAACTCTTGGACTCAAGTGATCAACTTGCCTTGGCCTCCTAAAGTGCTAGGATTATAGGCATGAGCCACTGTGCCCAGCCAAAATACTTTAGTTTTTCATCCTGTAAAACTGCAACTCTATACCCATTAAACACTGATTCCCACTCCCATGTATGCCAAACCCTTAGCAACTATCTTTCTAGGTCCTGTTTCTCTGATTTTTTTTTTTTTTTTTTTTTTTTTTTTGAGACAGATTCTTCACTCTTTTGCCCAGGCTGGAGCACAGTGGTGCGATCTTGGTTGACTGCAACCTCCACCTCCCAGGTTCAAGCGATTCTCCTGCCTCGGCCTCCCAAGTAGCTGGGACTACAGGTGTGCGCCACCATGCCTGGCTAATTTTTGTATTTTTAATAGAGATGGGGTTTCACTGTGTTGGCTAGAATGGTCTCTTATCTCTTGACCTTGTGACCCGCATTCCTCAGCCTCCCAAAGTGCTGAGTTTACAGGCATGAGCCACCACGCCCAGCTAACCATTTCATTTTCATCGTAGGGTCTTAGCTCAGCTGTCATCCCCTTAGAGAGTCCTCTGACCACTCCAGCACCTCAGAGTAGTTTCCTCCCCTTTGTCCCCTCCAGTTGCTCTCCATCTCATTCTCTTTTATTTCCTTATGTTTTCATTTGTTTGTTTATATGGAGACAGAGTCTTGCTCTCTCACCCAGGCTGAAATATAGTGGTGCGATCACAGCACACTGCAGCCTCACCTCCTAGACTCAAACAATCCCCCCGCGTCAGCCTCCTGAGTAGCTGGGATTACAGGCCCATGCTACCACGCCCAGCTAATTGTTATTTTTTATTTTTAGTAGAGGTGAAGTCTCACTATGTTGCCCAGGCTAGTCTTGAACTCCTCAACTCAATGATTCTCCCACCTCAGCATCCCCAGTGTGCTAGAATTGCAGGCATGAGTCACTGCACCCAGTCTTACTTATTTATTTCTTGTTTCCACTACTAAACTGTAATCTCCACAAGGGCAGAGCCTAGCACAGTGCCCCCAGGACAGCATTTAGTAAGCATACATTGAATGAACCAACACACTTATAAAGCACCTAAGATGTTTGAGGAATGAACATTTCTGAGACTGTCCTGAATGTAGGATGCAGTGGTGAGCCATTCACTGCTCCTAACATTTTCTTTTCTTTCTTTTTTTTTTTTTTTTTTTGAGATGGGGTTTCACTCTGTCATCCATGCTGGAGGGCAGTGATGCGATCTCGTCTCACTGCAACCTCAGCCTGCTGGGCTCAAGCAGTCCTCCCACCTCAGCCGCCCTAGTAGTTGGTACCACAGGCACACACCACCATGCCTGGCTATTTTTTTATTTTTGTATTTTTTGTAGGGACAGGATTTTGCAGTGTTGCCCAGGCAAGTCTTTTTTTTTTTTTTTTTTTTTTTTTTTTTTGAGACGGAGTTTCGCTCTTGTTACCCAGGCTGGAGTGCAGTGGCGCGATCTCGGCTCACCGCAACCTCCGCCTCCTGGGTTCAGGCAATTCTCCTGCCTCAGCCTCCTGAGTAGCTGAGATTACAGACACGTGCCACCATGCCCAGCTAATTTTTTGTATTTTTAGTAGAGACGGGGTTTCACCATGTTGACCAGGATGGTCTCGGTCTCTTGACCTCGTGATCCACCTGCCTCGGCCTCCCAAAGTGCTGGGATTACAGGCTTGAGCCACCGCGCCTGGCCGGCAAGTCTTGAACTCTTGGACTCCAGTGATCTGCCCGCCTCAGCCTCTAAAAGTGTTGGGATTGCAGGCGTGAGACACTGTACCCAGCGATCCTAACATTTTCTGTCCTATGATACTAGGACCTTGTCCATTGCTTTTCTTATAACCCTATTTGTTTTCAAATATTCAGTCATTTGAGTCCCTTTACCAATTTTTGGCATTGTTACAATAATATATCCTTATTTGCTTTAACAGATTTAGTCAACAAGTATTTGGCTTTTTGTTTTTTGTTTTGAGACGGAATCTCGCTCTGTCACCCAGTCTGGAGCGAAGTGGCGTGATGTCGGCTCACTGCAACCACTGCCTCCTGGATTCAAGGGATTCTCATGTCTCAGCCTCCTGAGTAGCTTGGATTACAGGTGTGTGCCACCTTGCCGGGCTAATTTTTTTGTACTTTTAGTAGAAACGAGGTTTTGCCAGGTTGGCCAGGCTGGTCTCAAACTCCTGACCTCAGGTGATCCACCTGCCTCGGCCTCCCAAAGTGCTGGGATTACGAGCACGGGCCACCTCGCCCAGCCAGATTTTATCAACAAGTATTTGAATATGTTCCTAACATTTGAGTCATAGCCCATGGAGGGAGAAAGATGACTTTAAAAAAATCTATGTGTAATTTCAGGTACTTGGGAGGCTAAGGCTGGAGTATTGCTTGAGTTTGGGAATTCAAGATTAGTCTGGTCAACATAGCAAGACTTTGTCTCTACTAAAAAATTTTTAAAAATTGGCCAGGCATGGTGGCTCACACCTATAATCCCAGCACTTTGGGAGGCCGAGGCAGGCAGATCATGAGGTCAGGAGTTTGAGACCAACCTGGCCAACACAGCAAAACCCCATCTCTCTTAAAAACACAAAAAGTTAACTGGCCATAGTGGCAGGTACCAGTAATTCCAGCTACTTGGGAGGCTGAGGCAGGAGAATCACTTGAACCCAGGAGGTGGAGACCGAGATCGGGCCATTGCACTCCAGCCTGGGCGACAAGAACAAGATTCCATCTTAAAAAAAAAAAAAATTAGCTGGGCATGGTGGTTTGCACCTGTAGTCCAAACTACTTGGGAGGCTGAGGCTAAGGTGGGTGGATCACTTGAGCCCAGGAGATGGAGGCTGCAGAGAGTTATGATCACACCACTGCCCTATAGCCTGGAGACAAAGTGAAACCTTATCTCAAAAAAACAAAAAACTATGTCATCAAAATAAAGCAGGAAAGTGGCTAGAGTTTCATGGGACACATACTGTTTTATTTGGGTGATCAGAAAAGGCCTTGATGATAAAGTGACCTTTGAGCAGAGACCTGACAAAAATTACAGGGTACGACATGCGGATGGGAAGAATAGAGAATAGAGAATAGAGGATATTCTCAGCATAGAGAATAGAGGAATGAGCTCTGGCAGGAAGGCCACTCCTGGAGACAATGATCAAGGGGAAGAGTAGAAGGAGATGATGTTGGACAGGTAGCAGAGACCACAATATCTAGGGCCTTGTCAACAGTGGTAAAGATGTTGCCTTTTATTCTAAATGACACAGGAAGCTACTAGAAAGTTCTGAGTAGAGGAGTGTTATTATCTGCCCAATTATTTATTTATTTATTTATTTCGAGACGGAGTCTTGCCCTGTCACCCAGGATGGAGTGTAGTGGTGCCATCTCCGTTAACTACCACCTCTGCCTCCTTGTTCAAGCGATTCTCCTGCCTCAGCCTCCTAAGTAGCTGGGATTACAGGCGTGCGCCAACACGCCTGGCTAATTTTTTTGTTGTTGTATTTTTTTAGTAGAGATGGGATTTCACCAAGTTAGCCAGGATGGTCTTGATATCCTGACCTCGTGATCCACCCGCCTTGGCCTCCCAAAATGCTGGGATTACAGGTGTGACCCACTGTGCCCTGCCCTTTTTTTTTTTTTTTTTTTTTTTTTTTTTTTTTTTTTTCAGATTGAGTTTTGTTCTTGTTGCCCAGGCTGGAGTGCAGTGGCATGATCTCAGCTCACTGCAACCTCTGCCTCCCAGGTTGAAGTAACTCTCCTGCCTTCGCCTCCTGTGTAGCTGTGATTATAGGCATGCCCTACCATGCCCAGCCAATTTTGTATTTTTAGTAGAGACAGGGTTTCTCCCTATTGGTCAGGCAGGCCTCAAACTCCCAACCTCAGGTGGTCCCAACCTCAGGTGATCCACCCGCCTAGGCCTCCCAAAGTGCTGGGATTACAGGCATGAGCCATCGCACCCTGCTTATTTGCCCAATATTTTAAAAGACCATTGGGCTTTCATACGGAGAAGGGAAGAAGACAAAGGCAGAAACAGCTGTTGTAAAGACCAGGCAAAAAATGAAGCTGACTTCATTTGAAGGGACTAGGTTGAAGTGACTAAGGGAGTGAGAAGTGGTTGCATTCTGCATTTATTTCAAAAATACGAATTAGCCGGGCGCGGTGGCTCAAGCCTGTAATCCCAGCACTTTGGGAGGCTGAGGCGGGTGGATCACAAGGTCAGGAGATCGAGACCGTCCTGGTCAACAAGGTGAAACCCCGTCTCTACTAAAAATACAAACAATTAGCTGGGCATGGTGGCGCGTGCCTGTAATCCCAGCTACGCAGGAGGCTGAGGCAGGAGAATTGCCTGAACCCAGGAGGCGGAGGTTGCAGTGAGCTGAGATCATGCCATTGCACTCCAGCCTGGGTAACAAGAGCAAAACTCTGTCTCAAAAAAAAAAAATACGAATTAAATGTAGGATGTGGGAGAAAGAAAGAAGTCAAAGATGATTTTGGCCTAGGTAACCAACCAGAAGCAGAGAGTTGCCGTTTACTGTGATGGTGACGACTGCAGGATGAATAAAATTTTGGAGGAAAAAATCAACAATTTGATATTAAACATGTTAAGATAAAGATGTCTGTTCAGCATCCAAGTGGAGAAATTGAGTAGTCAGTTAGATGTTTTCTTCTGTAGTTCAGAGATAAAAATGTGGGAGTCCTCAGGCCATAAGTGATATTTAAAGCCATGGGACCAAATGTCACATAGGGACATAATTGCCGGGCACGGTGGCTCATGCCTATAATCCCAGCACTTTGGGAGGCTGAGGCGGGTGGATCACCTGAGGTTAGGAGTTTGAGACCAGCCTGACCAATATGGTGAAACCCCGTCTTGAAAAACAAAAAAAGAGAAGAAAAAAATAATTAACTTACTTGCAGTGAGCCGAGATTGTGCCACTGCACTCCAGCCTGGATAACAGTGAGACTCTCTCAAAAGAAAAAAGATGACACAAATGTCACATAGGGAGGAAAAGAATATTGATACAAGAGAGGACCAAAATTGAGTCCTAGCCAGGTGCGGTGGCTCAAGCCTGTAATCCCAGCACTTTGGGAGGCCGAGGCGGGTGGATCATGAGGTCAAGAGATCGAGACCATCCTGGTCAACATGGTGAAACCCCGTCTCTACTAAAAATACAAAAAATTAGCTGGGCATGGTGGCTCGTGCCTGTAATCCCAGCTACTCAGGAGGCTGAGGCAGGAGAATTGCCTGAACCCAGGAGGCGGAGGTTGCGGTGAGCCGAGATCGCGCCATTGCACTCCAGTCTGGGTAACAAGAGCGAAACTCCGTCTCAAAAAAAAAAAAAGATTGAGTCCTAGTCCTCCAGTGTTGAGTGAAGATGAGAAACACCAAGCAAAGAAGACTTAAAAGGAATGGTCAGCAAGTTAAGTGGAGAACCAAGAGAGTTGTGTCTCAGAGGCCAAGGGAAGAATAGATTTCACAGTGGGTATAATCTGCTATAACAACCATGTCAGATGTTGCCATGGGGATGAAGATTCTGTGAAGCAATTCATTCTCTTCTACTTACATATAGAAGAGGAAAACTTTTCCTGATAAAAAGGAAACTTTAGCTGGGCGCAGTGGCTCACGCCTGTAATCCCAGCATTTTGGGAGGCCAAGGCGGGTGGATCACGAGGTCAAGAGATCGAGACCATCCTGGTCAACATGGTGAAACCCTGTCTCTACTAAAAATACAAAAAATTAGCTGGGCATGGTGGCACGTGCCTGTAATCCCAGCCACTCAGGAGGCTGAGGCAGGGGAATTGCTTGAACCCAGGAGGCGGAGGTTGCGGTGAGCCGAGATCGTGCCATTGCACTCCAGCCTGGGTAACGAGAGAGAAACTACGTCTCAAAAAAAAAAAAAAAAAAGAGCCAGGCGCGGTGGCTCAAGCCTGTAATCCCAGCACTTTGGGAGGCCGAGGCGGGTGGATCACGAGGTCGAGAGATCGAGACCATCCTGGTCAACATGGTGAAACCCCGTCTCTACTAAAAATACAAAAAATTAGCTGGGCATGGTGGCGCGTGCCTGTAATCCCAGCTACTCAGGAGGCTGAGGCAGGAGAATTGCCTGAACCAGGGAGGCGGAGGTTGCGGTGAGCCGAGATAGCGCCATTGCACTCCAGCCTGGGTAACAAGAGCGAAACTCCGTCTCAAAAAAAAAAAAAAGAAAAGAAAAAGAAAAAGAAATCGAGACCATCCTGGCCAACATGGTAAAGCCCCATCTCTACTAAAAATGCAAAAATTAGCTGGGCATGGTGGTGCATGACTGTAATTCCAGCTACTCAGGAGGCTGAGGCAGGAGAATTGTTTGAACCCAGGAGGCAGAGTTGCAGTGAGCCAAGATCATGCCACTGCACTTTAGCCTGTGACAGAGCAAGACACCATCTCAGGAAAAAAAAAAAAAAAAAGAAACTTTATATTTCTTCTATAAATGAAAGACTTTTATTTGTTGGAAATTGAAGGTAATTGTTAAAAGTATATGACAACAAAATAGTGTTATTGGCTGGGCATGTTGGCTTACACCTGTAATCCCAACACTTTGGGAGACCAAGGCCAGGAGTTCAAGACCAACCTGGACAACAATGTAGTGAGACCCCATTTCTACAAAAACAAGTAAATAAATACATAGCTAAAACAGTATTATGACTCTTTTTTTTGAGACGGAGGCTCAAAAAAAACGATGCGCCCAGGCATCGTCTCACTGTCCTCCTCCATTGCAGGGCCGCATCATCGAGTACGCACACTGCGGGGCTGGGGCCAGGGCGCTCCCGCTGGGCCTCACCACCTTTCCGTGTCTGTTACCCAGGCTGGAATGCAATGGTGCGATCTCCGCTCACCAAAGCCTTCGCATCCCGGATTCAAGTGATTCTTCTGCCTCAGCCTCCTGAGTAGCTGGGATTACAGGCACGCGCCACCATACCCAGCTAATTTTTGTGGTTTTGTTTTTTTTTTTGAGACGGAGTTTCGCTCTTGTTACCCAGGCTGGAGTGCAATGGCGCCATCTCGGCTCACCGCAACCTCTGCCTCCCGGGTTCAGGCAATTCTCCTGCCTCAGCCTCCTGACTAGCTGGGATTACAGGCACGCGCCACCATGCCCAGCTAATTTTTTGTATTTTTAGTAGAGACGGGTTTTCACCATGTTGACCAGGACGGTCTCGATCTGTTGACCTCGTGATCCACCCGCCTTGGCCTCCCAAAGTGCTGGGATTATAGGCTTGAGCCACCGCGCCCGGCATTTTTGTGTTTTTAGTAGAGATGGGGTTTCACCATGTTGGCCAGGGTAGTCTCGATCTCCTGACCTCAGGATCTGCCCACCTAGGCCTCCCAAAGTGCTGGGATTACAAGCATGAGCCACCGTGCCCAGACAGTATTATTACATTCTAGATCGACATTGTGGCTGATTAGAGGCTCTAAGTCCAAGGCATGTTGGAAATTAGCATTAGAAAAGGCCTAGAGACTTTGTAGTGCTAAATAAGAAAATTCCAAAAAATTGAAAAGGAAAATAATAACTGTCTCACAATGTTATACAATATCTTGCTAGCGTAACTCCTCTAAAATCTCACGTGTTGGCCCTATGCGTTGTGAAATGCTTCACTAAACTGTTTTGGTTTTTCTTTTAAGTTTTTTCGATTGTATGCTAATTCCATGATCTAAAAGGAAAGATAGGACTCAGAGGTGCTTTTTCCATTTTCAGGAAGTGTTTTAGATCACAGTTTGGAAAGCCTCATCCACCGCCTCCGTGGTTTGTGTGACAACATGGAACCTGAGACTTTCCTTGACCATGAGATGGTATTCCTCCTTAAGGGCCAGCAAGCCAGCCCTTTTGTTCTAAGGGCCCGACGCTCTATGGACAGGGCAGGGGCACCCTGGCATCTGCGCTACCTGGGACAACCAGAAATGGGAGACAAGAACCGCCATGCCCTGGTGCGAAACTGCGTGGACATTGCCACATCTGAGAACCTCACCGACTTCTTGATGGAAATGGGCTTCCGCATGGACCATGAGTTTGTTGCTAAGGGGCACTTGTTCCGAAAGGGCATCATGAAGATTATGGTGTACAAGATTTTCCGCATCCTTGTGCCAGGGAACACAGACAGCACTGAGGCCTTGTCGCTTTCCTATCTCGTGGAATTAAGTGTAGTTGCACCCGCTGGACAGGACGTGGTTTCTGATGACATGAGGAACTTTGCAGAGCAGCTAAAACCTCTGGTTCACCTAGAGAAAATAGACCCCAAGAGGCTCATGTGACTAAGAGCATCTGTCCACATTTGGGGCCTGTCCTTACTTGTTTGAAAAAATGTGTTTTAAATGTCCCATTTCACCATTGCCAGGCATTCTTCCTTCAAGGAGGAGGATGCCTCATGATGATTTCGCTTTCATGACAGCCTTTCTACATTAAAGGCTCAGAACATCACGGAGATCTATCTAATCGGGCTTTATAAAGAGGAGAAACTGGAGTAAATTAGCTTTTGGAAATAAAAATTTCTTGTTTGGCCATTTGTGTGTAAGGTTTGTAACATTAGAGACTGTGAGTTTGTGCTGTATGGTAATAAAGGCAGTGGCCTAGAATTTGTTTAGGAAGTCTTTATTTACCCCTAGGTAACACAGATTTTCCTTCTTAGCTTTATAGTTTTAATTTTCACATTTAGATCTTTAATTCATCTAGAGTCCATTTTCTAGGTGGTTTCAAGAAAAACCCAGGTTTCTTCTCCCGGCAGTGAATTAGTTTTTCCACCACCATCCAAAAAGCAATTTTCAGTGCTTCGTGCTGCTTCCATTGTCACATATTAGGTTTCCATGTATATGTTTTATTCGTAAGTTCTCCATTTTATTTCGTTTTTTTTCTTTGTTTCAGTGCCAGCAACACAATGTTTTTATTATTAAGGCTTTATAGTAGAGCCAGTTCTACCACTAAGGCAGGTACCCTTACCTTTTTGTCCTCTAAAATAGACTTATAGTATAGTATAGTAATATTTCAAAAAAATAATAAAAGAAGATAGACTTAGCATCCAGGTATGGTGGCTCATGTTTATAATCCCAGTACTTTGGGAGACCAGGACAAGAGGATTGCTTGAGGCCAGGAATTCAAGACCAGCCTGGGCAACATAGCAAGACCTTATCTCTACAAAATAATTTTTTTTTTGATTAGCCAGGTGTGATGGCATGCACCTGTGGATCCAGCTATTTGGGAGGCTGAAGTAGTAGGATCTCGAGCCTGGGAGGTGGAGGCTGCAGTGACTTGTGATCCTACCAATATACTCCAGCCTGGGTAACATTGAGACCCTGTCTCAACAACAACAAAAATACAGACTGGGTTTTTGTAGCTCTTTATTCTTTCATATTCATTTTAGAGTAAGTTGTAGATTCTGAACATTACTACTGGAATTTTTATTGGAATTTCATTGAATATGTATAGATTAATTTGGGAAAGAACCAACATCTTTTCATGGAACACTCCCTGCCCAGAATTCAGTGTGGCTGGCTTTCTTCACCTTTCACGTCTCTGCTAAAATGTCAGAGAAGCTTCCTTGACCATCCAGAATTAAGTGACACTCATTCTCTGTCATTCTCTACTCTCTATTATTCTCTATCCTTTTATCCCTTTACCTTTTTTTTTTTTTTTGCGACAGAGTTTCGCTGTTGTTACCCAGGCTGGAGTGCAATGGCGCAATCTCAGCTCACCGCAACCTCTGCCTCCTGGGTTCAAGCAATTCTCCTGCCTCAGCCTCCTGAGTAGCTGGGATTACAGGCATGAGCCACCATGCCCAGCTAATTTTTTTGTATTTTTAGTAGAGACGGGGTTTCACCATGTTGACCAGGATGGTCTCGATCTCTTGACCTCGTGATCCACCCGCCTCGGCCTCCCAAAGTGCTGGGATTACAGGCTTGAGCCACCACGCCTGGCTTTTTTTTTTGAGATGGAGTCTCATTCTGTTGCCCAGGCTGGAGTGCAGTGGCACCATCTGGACTCACTGCCAACTTCCACCTCCTGGGTTCAAGCGATTCTCCTACCTCAGCTTCCCAAGTAGCTGAGATTACAGGCATGCAGTACCACACCCAGCTAATTTTTATATTTTTAGTAGAGTTGGGGTTTCACCATTTTGGCCAGGCTGGTCTCAAATTCCTGACCTCAACTAATCAACCTGCCTCAGCCTCCCAAAATGTTGGGATTAAAGGCATGAGCTACTATGCCTGATACCTTTTTATTGTTTCCGTAGTGCTTACAAGCAATCTGCCCGCCTCAGCCTCTCAAAGTGCTGGGATTACAGGTAGCCACCTGCCCTGCCCAATTTTAGTATTATTAACAAGACTGTATGCTTTCTAAGAAGAGGAACTGTGTTTTGTAGTATAGCCTAATGATTAAGAGCACAAACTTGGTAATCTTTCATTCAAATCTAAACTGCAGTGCATGTTTTCTTGTTCAAGCTGGGTAAACCTCTGTAAGTCTTACTGTGCTTTCCCCCGCCACCCCCCCCTTTTTTTTTTTTTTTTTTTTTGAGACCAAGTCTCACTCTATCACCCAGGCTGGAGTGCAGTGGCACAATCTCAGCTCACTGCAACCTCCACCCCCCAGGTTCAAGCGATTCTCCTGCCTCAGCCTCCAGAGTAGCTGGGATTACAAGTGCCTGCCACCACACCTGGCTACTTTTGTGTGTGTGTGTGTGTGTGTGTGTGTGTGTGTGTGTGTGTGTGTGTGTGTGTTTTTAGGAGAGACGGGGTTTCACCATCTTGGCCAGACTAGTCTTGAATTTCCTGACTTCGTTATCTGCCCGCATCAGCCTCCCAAAGTGCTGGGATTACAGGTGTGAGCCACCGTACCTGGCCAAGCCTTAGTTTTCTTGTCTGTAAAATGTGTTTGATCATAGACTGTTCATAGAGATTGTTGTAGGGATTAAATGAGATAATCCACTCACTTAGCACAGTGCCTGGCACATAATAACTGATCAATAAATCAATATTTATGCCAGGTACTGTGATACATGTTTTATTTAGCACTGTTCTAAATACTTTTTATTTATATGAACCCCATAACCCCTACCTAGCTTAGTACTACTCGTATAATGACCTTTCAAATATTTGTTGAGTGAATGAGTGTTGAGAGAACTTGTGAATGCTGACTTGGAGACCAAAAGAATCTTGCCTGTGTAGGCTGGTTTGTCCCAGGTTAACATTCCTCTTTAATGAGTTGGTATGAGCACCATGAGGCCCAGCATCTGTAGTAAGCTGGAAGAGATTGTGGGAAAGGGTAGCTTTTTCACTATGGCTTTCTCTTTTTTTTTTTTGAGACAGTCTCACTCTGTCACCCAGCCTGGAGAGCGTTGGTGCAATCTTGGCTCACTGCAACCTCTGCCTCCCAAGCACTTCTCGTGCCTCAAGTGATTCGCATGCCTCAGCTTCTCAAGTACCTGGGATTATAGGAATGTACCACCATGCTCAGCTAAATTTTTTTGTATGTTTAATAGAGACAGGCTGGTCTTGAACGCCTGAGCTCAAGTGATCTGCCCGCTTCGGCCACAGGCATGAACCACCATGCCTGGCCAGCTATGGCTTTTTCACTCTGAAGAAACCATTCACACTTTAATGCTCTAATTTATTTCTGAGAACTGAAAACATGAATTTAAAAAAGTTGCTCTAGGTAGAAATGTTAAAATTTACAATACTTAAGGTCATGGAGAACATAAAGGAGTAAATTTTTGGAGAAAATAAAAATAAGTGAAAACTCTTCTTAAGCTCATTTAGCTAAGAAAATAAGAATTTTCACAAAGGTGCCGGGCGCAGTGGCTCACGCCTGTAATCCCAGCACTTTGGGAGGCCGAGGCAGGCGGATCACCTGAGGTCCGGAGTTCGAGACCAGCCTAACCAACATAGAGAAACCTCGTCTCTACTAAAAATACAAAATTATTTGGGCGTGGTGGCAGGTGCCTGTAGTCCCAGCTATTCAGGAGGCTGAGGCAGGAAAATTGTTTGAACCTGGGAGGTGGAGGTCGCAGTGAGCCAAGATTGCACCATTGCACTCCAGCCTAGGCAACAAGAGTGGAACTCCATATCAAAGAAAAAAAAAGACAAAAAAAGAATTTTCACAAAGGTTTAGTATAAGCCTGCTTATCTTAGTGATGTGTGTAATTTAGCAAAAAATGGAAATACAGCCAGGCGCGGTGGCTCACGCCTGTAATCCCAGCACTTTGTGAGGCCAAGGCAGGTGGATCACAAGGTGAAGAGATTCAGGCCGTCCTGGCCAACATGGTGAAACCCCATCTCTACTAAAAATACAAAAAAAATTGGCTGGGCATGGTGTCGCATGCCTATAGTTCCAGCTACTCAGGAGGCTGAGGCAGAAGAATCGCTTGAACCCAGGAGGCAGACATTACAGGGAGCCGAGATCGTGCCACTGCACTCCAGCCTGATGACAGAGCAAGATTCCATCTAAAAAAAAAAAAAAAAAAAAAAAAACTTGAAATAATCTTTCTTTATTTATTTATTATTTCAAGACAGGGTCTTGCTCTGTCACCCAGACTAGAATGCGGTGGCTCCAACAAGGCTTACTGCAGCCTTGACCTCCTGTGCTCAAGCAACCCTCCCTCCTCAGACTCCCAAAGTGCTGGGGTTATAGGCATGCCCCACCATGCTTTTTATTTGTTTGTTTTTCTTTTTAGACTGAATCTCGCTCTGTTGCCCAGGCTGGAGTGCAGTGGCGAGATCTCACCTCACTGCAACCTACACCTCTCAGGTTCAAGCGATTCTCCTGCCTCAGCCTCCCAAGTAGCTGGGACTACAGGCACCTGCCACCATGCCCCGTTAATTTTTGTATTTTTAGCAGAGACATGGTTTCACCATGTGGCCAGGATGGTCCTGATGTCTTAATGTCTTGACCTCGAGATCCGCCCTCCTCAGCCTCCCAAAGTGTGGAGATTACAGGCATGAGCCACCGAGCGGAGCTGTGCACCACCATGCTTAGTGGAAATAATCTTGATGTCTAATAAATGGAATGGAATAATTAAATGATACCGCACATCCACACAGTAAGATATCTTATAGCCATAGAAAAAGAATTTGTAGAAATGAATTCAATGGAAAAATTTTCTAGATAGTTAACTTATTAACTCTGTGGTCTAAGGCAAATTACTTAACTCCTTTGCCTTAGTCTCCTTATCATCAAGTGGGATACTAATATTGCCTTCTCTATAGTGTTATCATGAGATTTAAATGAGTCGTTACAGGTAAAAACATTTGGGATAGAACCTGGCCTAGAGTAAACATTAGATAAATATAAGTTGTAATTATTATAAGAAAAGCTTTAAAATAATATGCTATTTAAAAAAACAAACAAAATAATAAAATAAAAAGAAAAAAATATGCTATTTAAAACATAATATGCTATTTTTTCTAATACACGTACATAGATATAACAGTATGAAACTAAATACCTCAAAATGTTAACAAGTAGCTTACACTTGTAATCCCAGCACTTTAGGAGGCCAAGGAGGGTGCATCACTTGAGGTCAGGAGTTTGAGACCAGTCTGGACAACATTGCAAAACCCTGTCTCCACCAAAATATACAAAAATTAGC